CCACCAAATAAAAACACAAACAAGGAGGAAAATGGAAGAAACCTCAAGAGGAGCAACAGAGGACAGGTCTTTCTTCCAGGATGGGTAGACTTACCATGTCTGCAGAATAAATAAGCATAATTAGGAATAGTTAGGAAACATGTTTTCCTGTGGATGGCAAAGTAAGAATCTCATTGTACAGGGAAACATGTTTCCTAACTGTACATATGACAAATAAACACTATGACTTGACTTGACTAATAGATTTACAGTATGGCCAATCAGAATGACAAAAATTGTATATTGTAACATACATAAAGAACATAAACATAACCACTGTGCAGCAGCAATGTAAATAAAGAGCAGAACCAAAGTTATCTAAGAATGGACTCAGTGTGTCTCATTTTTACACACAATAAACAGCTTGATTCTTAATAATGTATGGTTTTTTATTTCATAAAATTAGGGGTTTAATCACTCATGAATTTCACTCACACATATGAGAAAACTAAGTTCTTGAAAATGTGTGAATTTCTGACCCAGATTTTGCTCAATCACTCTTATGTGTCACTTAACAATGAATCTGTTGACTTCAGTGGTTCTTGCAATTGTGCAAGATGAGTTTAATAAAAATCACTTGCAGTTTGTGCACACTGTATGGTATAAATTTTGACATGTCATATTGTGTTATGGATGATAGGATAAAGATTTTAAAAATGTAAGCATCACCTCATCATCTGTTTGCACTGCTGACATGTTTTGTTAAATAAGCAATAGTTTGGCAATAGTGCTGGCCCTTTAATTCAGCCAGTGCATTTTGCATCATGTCATGTCACATTCCAGTTGTTTTGCAGGCACAGGCTGTAGCAGCAGCCACACTGTGAGATTTTGGTCTAAAATGTCTGACAATATCTAATTGTCAAAAATGTATTTAGATTGTCAACTAAATATTGCATCCACATTTTTGTTAAGTCTGTCCTTATTTTCCTAAAGGAAGATGATAAACTTTTCTGTGCTGCAATCTCAATCACTAATTTAAGATACGGTACTATTTGAAGTTATATTTTTTAATTAAAATTCTGATTAGTACATATAATCCCTATATTTTAGCTTTAAATGTAAGAAAAGAGATTAGGAAGAAAAAGGGACAGTTGCAGGGAATGGTAAGACAAGGGGACGGATTAGAAAGAGAAACCTAAGAGGGTTGTAGAAAAAGCTTAGCCAGGGTGTAAGTCAAGATTATTAGAAGAGTGTGGTTGTGAGAAAATGTGGGAAAATTAGGGGGGAGACATATAAAAGTAATGTAAGTTGAAAGGAAAGGGTGGAGGACAGTAGAGTGAAAGCAGATTGAGAGAGAGACAGGAAGGAAGAGGAGGGTTAGCTAAAGGTGCCAGCAAGGGAGAAGTAGAAAGAGAGAGGGATGAATTAAAGGAAGGAAAGGGAGGGATAGAGCCAAATAGAGATGTGGGTACAAGCTAGGGAGGAGATGGAGAGAGAAAGAGGGATGAGAGGAGTGGGGGGATGGACACAGAAGAAGGTAGAGGTGGGGGTTCTTCAGCTGCTTTCTGAGCAAAGCAGTTGAGGGTAATTGGTTCCTCATGTGAACCTGAGCTTACTTCTCCAAATAAAAGGCCCTTCTGTCAGCTGTAATGGCTTTTCCATGCTGCACTGCTCTGATGGGGGCTACGTTAGCATCCTAGCACAGCTCATGACCTGCTTTGAATTAGGAGATATGCAATAATACATGTGCACCAACTGTGATGACCCGATTAGCTTCATAGGTCATGGACAAAAAGAGAGTTTCTGGAACAAGGCAATCTAATCTACTGGAGAAGAGATAAGAATACTACTCTAAAAGTACAGACTGTAAACTATGCAACAATGCACAATACAGCATGGTTAGTATAATCAAAGCATAACTAATAGACAACCAAACACTTTTCCTGGTATTATTGACCATAAATGCTAGGAAATGGAAAGAAGGATGGATTCTACCTGCCAAACAAATTGAAAGTCACTCAGCATTCTTACATTACAGAGAGAAGCCATTATTGTGCATCACCACCTGAGACATAGGAAGTCTGGCTAATCTGTCTCCATCTCATGTCTCTTTTCTATTCTGACAAGAAGAGCGGCTGAGATGTTGATTGGGACACACACACAGTGTTTCACAGACGGCCTGACCGTCATCCTGTGCATCTGGTCTCTGTAATTTAACTCTCAGACCACAATCGTGGCAATAAAATGTCTGAGTCACAGGAACAAAATAAGAGATAGGAGAGCGAAGGTGGAAGTTTAGAGTACATGGGATTGACTAAGATGCAGTGCAAATGTGGCAAAAGGGAATGAATTTTTCTACTTTATTCATCACTTTAGGGGAAATGTCTCTCCCATAAACAGGAAGTCCTCTCTCTCAACATTTGTAAATTTTCCATTTTTATTACTTAAATAATGAAGAACAGTAAAGTATTGCATATTGCTTGGTAAACTTTGAAATTATGCATGAAATCAAACTTTTGCTACAGTAGAGATGATGATGTGTCCTTTCTTTTCCTCTGTTCTTGACTAACTGTCTCGTATTTTCTTTCAAAGACTGTCTCATTATTATTGGGTTATTTTCATGTGGAGGCCTTTTATATCCAAATCTACTGCATCTATATTAATGATTGCCCATAATCACCTTTTTTTCTTGCTCCTACCTAAAAGTTTACTTTGTGATGTCATTCATCTCCCTGCCCCTGGGCTGTTTATGTAGCCCTTTCTCTCCTCCCTCCCCTCTTTGACTTTTTCCTCCATTTCCTCTGTTTCACCTAACCTAACCCCTCGCTCTCTTTCACTCTCCTCTTCTACTACTGAAATTTAACTCTCCTTTGAAACCCATGTGCCCTCCTCTCCCTTTTTCTACTGATCCCTTAACTCTTTCTGTCTGACTAATTTCATTTTTTCTTTATCTAATTCTGTTTCACTAGTAACATGGACCAAATCTGTCAAGTAATTCTTACTTGCCTTTCAGTGCTCAGAAATCTAAATCCCTGTTTTGGGGGCTAGTGATGGGGTTGGTCAAAAAACAGTTCGTGCTTAAGGACCTTTGTCTGCTAAATACACAAATTCAAAAAGTCATCCTCCTTTATTTATGCAACTAAATGTTACATGGAGAAGAACCTATGTGTCTTTCAGTCTTCAAACAGTGGCACGTCATAGAGTCTATACAGTTGTGCTCGGTGCTGGTGCACTTACGCACAATTGCATTGACAGTGCACACTGATGTTATGCATGTTCTCCATAAAAAGAATATGAAGTTGATGTCACGGTGTGCTGAATTTTGGATAAGTGCGCTATGTTTGGAGCATCACGCTCATTATCAATCATAGATATATACACTACATACATCTATAAGTTAAAATAATGATCCCATACAGCTACACACAGTAACATGTGCTTCCACTTTAGCATTCAGATTGTGCACAGACAGGACAGAAAGTGATCTGTAGTGGCCCTGCCATCTGCTAGCTAGCATTAGCTCCCAAACCAAGAACTCAGTGTGCAGACTCATTTTTCAGTCTGTCACTGTCATAGACAGGGTCTATATGTGCACTATGAGTTATCTATGGTCAGCTAAGGTGAAGCACTGAGAAATAAATAGTTTTGTAATCTTTGTTTTTTCCCTCCACTCCTCTGGTTGGTTTGTATATAGACACCTCAGTAAATGCTACCACATGGCCCACTAGCTTGTGGGTGTGACACATTCAAAGCAACTCGTGTGGATTGTGCTTACTGAACTACCTGGTGATACACAAGTCTCCAAGCAGAAGAACACTACTGCTGTCAATACTCATCTATCAGTCCCCCGCACTGTATTCTTGTAGTGTGACATTGTGACATAAAATTAGTTTTATTTACCTTACTTCAAATTATGTTTGGCTGTTGCTTGGGAATATGTCAAATCCATCTTCACACATCTTCCTACAGCCATGTAAACCTGAGTCTGCCTCTTGTACAGTATTCTCATTTAGGTGACTGGTAGATGTTTGCTTTCCGTTACGGGACACGACAATTTAAATTTAGTCTTTTTTAATTTGTGTGAAATAGGCAAGCTTGTATTACAACAAGAGCACAAATTGTAGCATAGTGGACATGCAAGTATTTTGACAAATCAATCAAAGCTAACAGATTTCCCTGTCTCTGGGTTTTGAGTGGTGCCACTTATTCCCCTCCATCTTTGTCTATGCGAGGCACACACGTGTTTTCCAACATGAGTTTGTACTTTAAATCAATTTTCCCTTTCTTTTTTCTACATTATTTTGCGGTGCCCTTTACTTTAAGGTGCAAAGAAGAACCATGGGAAAAAACACCTCACTAGGTTTTCACAGATGGTGTGAAGTTGGCAGATATAACTGTCCCTATGAAATACTTTCTCATAACCTGAGAGCTTTATATGAGAAGGTTTTACCTTCACTTGGGCACCAGCACCGGCACAGAGAAGGAAATATTTCCAGTAGTGTGTAAGATTAATTGGTAAGCAATACAATAAGTGTCTGAGTCCCCCAGTATCAGTGTCATGTTGTCTTTTTCTTTCTGCTTCACTCCACCCCTTCCTGTCTCTTTCTTAACAAGTTACTGAAAAAAAAAATGTGTTTCCAATTAGGCTCTGAGGAAAAAAGAGCAACTCCCAAGTGGGAAAACTACAAAGAATGTCTTTGGTAACAACACACACACCCACACACACATATATGTATTTTTCATAAACTAAGTCAAAAAATGTTTCTTTGTGTAATTCAGTGCACTTGTTGTCAATACAATTTCACCTGTCTTTAAGGGTTTTGTTTTAAAAGGTCCTAGAGTTTTGTTCATTTAGCAGTGAAATTCAGATTTTACTAAGTACAAGCAAATTAAAATGCCCAACAGTGCCACGCTTTATTTAATTTAGTCTTTTTTATTGCACTGTGTGAGTGTGTGAGAGAGGGAGAGAGGGAGAGACGTCACGTGTAGACAAAAGTCCTCTCCTGTAGCGTGTGTGTGGCAGTCGGTCGGTCGGTCAGGGCGAGAGAGAGCTCGACGGAGCCGCCGCGCCAGCGCACACAGGGACGGAGACGCAGCAGAGGGCATCAAAGCTTCTTCATCTGGAAAGTAAATGAATAAATAAAACAACTTTAAAACATCGAAATACTGGTGGGAAAAATATCAGAAGACATACTGCTTTTCTGCACGGACATAAAATGAAAGGGTTACCTGGTTGTATATTGGATTTGGAGTCTGATACAAGAGTTGCTCAGGCAGAGCCATAGGAGTTGTCTGCTGGAGCAATCTCAGGCACCTCGAATCAAACTTGAATTACACATCCAGGAATTAGTCAGGGAGTAAGCTAAACTACCTACATACTGCTCTCACGGGAAAAGAAGACGCTGTAAGTATTTCATTTCTTAGTTTGCTTATTGAATGAATCCTCATAAATTCAAATTCTTCCGTATTTCCCCCCTTTGGCTGACTTTATGCATGCATGATGTGGGCATCTTTACATAATCAAAGTATACCTGCCACGTAGACGTGGCGAGAAAACTTTGGGTTCAGATAAATGCTTTGATGGCACTGGCAGATCCCAGAATCCGCTGTGCGCACCATTATTTTGATAGGAGACGCTCGGTTGTGCGCTTATAGTGGTTAAGAACGTGGACGCGGCTGGAATGAAGGAGTTGTTGCGCCAGAGTTGGGATCTTTACCAAGTTCTGGAATTGGAACAATATTTGTGGAAGGGAGTGAGAGGGAAAACAAGTGGGCGTTGGGTCTGGGAGTAAAAGTTTGACATCTGTCTTGATTTTGCACGCTGATCTGCATTCAGAGAATTTTTCTTTTAGTTTTCTTCATTGAATTCTTTTTTGTCTCTCGCAAACGTAACCCCCCATCTGCGCTTTGAAACAAACACGCAATCCATCATCCACCATCAGCTATCCAAGACCAAGCATCTGTATTGTCACTTTCAGTAATAGTGAACATCATCAGAATCAGAATTGTGTTTACTGGCCAAGTAAAACACACAAATAATTAGTCACCGGTACAGAGGATCTCAATGTGCTTGTAAGTCAGCAAGAAAGATAGCAAAATACAGTATGTGCATTTAAAATAAGAAGGGAATAGTAGAAAAATGAGAAACAACATGATTAAGAGAGCAGCAATGTCCTGAAACTTTCCTAGTAGCATCTCCCCAGAGTATAGTCTACACCTTGATGCTTTCTAGTACTGGCAAGAACCAGTACTGCGTCTGGGACTGAGGCCCCGATGGTCAGTAATTTCATGAACCAACTTAAACTACCACCAAAACACCATCAGAAATTTGAGAT